TTTCCTATAAAAGAAGCACCACTTTATGAAGAAATGAATGAAAGCGATATATATTTAACAATTTTGACTTGTATACTAGACAATATTTTTTTTGTAAACAACAAATAAAAGAATTTTATTTTGTGCTAGCTTCGAAACTAGAAGCTTATTTTTTTGTTTAATGTGCTTTAAAAAGGACCTACTGCCAATAAAGCCTTGTGGATTGCTATTTTTCCATATTTGTAATGCTTCCATTTAAACATCTGTGTGGAAAAACAGTTTTTTGTTCAGAATTGCTTGTTTACGAAACGTTTGGCATAAGTTGAAATCATAGGGATGCCGTTTTCTTCCGTTTCTCAGTGGATTTTATACTTGAATGGGCACCAAAATATGTATGCAATATTTCTACATATCTTCGTTTAAAGCACAAAACCGCGCATAAAGGAAATGCAAAACCTCGTATGCGAGGTTGCCTAAATTTAAAAAACGGTTCTATCTTTTAAACTTAATATTCTTCTCTCCTTATGTCTAAGTCGATATTTTATTATAAATGGCTAAGGGCTTGATGACAGGAGCTTCCGATGACCAAATATCTTTTTTGGCAAAAATTTCAGTTCCGAGGTTTTGCAGAACCACGATACGCGCTTTTGTACTTTAAACGACGAATATGTATATCGCTTGAACAATATGTTAGTGTTTGGCCTAGCTTCTCCTCCGATATGCGGCGTGCGTGATTTTGTCACACAAAGTAAAGGACAGTTTTACGCCGACTCCGAACGGCAATTGTATTTTAATGAGAAGTTGTTTCCATGACAGAATACACTCGGAGGTTTACTATTACCAACAGAGGGGCAACCACTATTAGAAAAACTGGGCTTGAACTCAGGCTCTGCGTAATGCTCTACAGCAGCCGCCACTACTTTTACATATATTGCTGGTATATTCACAATACTATCCCGAACTTCGGAGTGTATATATGTAACATAAAAAAGAATGAGAGGTACTATTAGAAAATGTACCCAAAATTCTGGAGCAAATGAAAAAATGCTCATTGAAAATAGTTCACATGTATAAATTAAAAGATATAACTTAATAGGTTACAGAGCTAAACAAAAGGAAAAGTTACAAAAAATAACAATGCGGTTTGAAGGAAACATGAAGCCATAAAATGCTTGTTTGTTTCGTTAATACTCTGAACTTTGTAAGATATGGCACTGTATTATTTGCAGTAGTTTGCAAATATTCACTAATGGTTCTAAAATCGCAAACATTTTCGTGGGATGTTTTTGTTTGATTTCGAATTGAAAATACATTACGATCATATTGTACCGAAATAAGTACGGTATCCCTGCATTTTTGTAAAAGCCAGAAAGAAGCATAAACTGTATGAAAAAATGAAAGGGAGAAGTATACATGCCTTCTATAATTTTGACTTATATGTATATTTGGCAAGTCTTTGTGTAAACAACAAAAAATACAATTTTCATTTCTTTGCCAGCTTGGAAAATATAGGCTTATTTTTACTTAAACGTGATATAAAGATCATTAAAATGTTCTGTAATGTCTTGTTGTAAGTTTGTTATCATAGTTCTTCGTATTTTTATTGTCCACTAAACGTGAGTGGCTTCAATTTAAAAAGTTCTAGTACAAAGAATTTCTTTGTTTTGAATTTGTTTGTTTATTGTTTTTAATTTTTAAAATTCATACTTTTGACATGTATGTGAATGGCGGAGTTGCCGCTTTCCTCCTTTTCGGTGGGTTTTTATATTAAAAAGGCATCAAAATGGGAAAAAACCCCCTTGGTATCTCTGCATCTGTTAAACTTTTTATGGGAAGATGTATGAAAATTCAACTTGCTATAATTTCATATGCTTAACAGTATCACAACAGTATGTTTACAGTATCTCCCCATAACTTTTCATATGAAAAAATTTATTATATGCATCCCACTCCATATCATTGAATTCCTCATTAGAACATGTAGTCCCTCTATTTTAGCGTATCAACAGTTCATATGGCTTCATACCATGTAAATGCGCCATTAGTTATATGTATGTGCTGTTATGAATTTTTTGTTGCGCTATAAAAGATCATTCTTTTGATCTTATTGTGCTAATGATTTTATTAATAAATGAAATGAAATGAAATAATGCAAGGTATCAGCTGAAGCTAATAAATATGAAAGCAAAGCATTCAAATTTAATTGTATGAAATAACATACAAAAACGCAACGCTGAAACTTAAAATCTACTTTTCGAGCAATTTTCGAGTTTAAGGGTATCACCTAATTACATTTTCAATGCCTTTCAAATGAATAATTTTCATTTAATAATTATTATTTATAATTCTTTTTATTTGTGTAAACGCCAATCTATTGTTATAATTCATGTAATTCCTAACGGAATCATTGCGGCCCAGCTGACAAGGCACGGAATAAATACTACCAAACTTGTCTAGAACACCACTTTCACATGTAAGGTCTACATAAAGCCAATGAGTGGTCAACGCCAAAAACCACTTTTATCACTTGTCCGTTTACCGCCGTTTTGAAGGGGAAAAATTGGTCTTTTTTGTGACCTAGTCCAAGGTGCCCAAAACGATTCTTACCCCACATGAAAAGATCACCGTCAGAGTTGATTGCTCCCATATGAAATACTCCACAACCAATTGAAATAACACGAGATTTTTCGCTGAAAGCATTGCGTCCGAACAAGAGTGGCTGTAAGTGCTGGGGTTTAGATGTCTGCTCAACATAGGGTCCGAATCCGAGGATTCCATACCCCCACGTATAAACCAAACCTTCTTCATTTAATGCCATGCAAAACGATCCTCCTGCTGCGATGTCTATCACCTTTCCAATGCGTTTTGTTAGCGTCAATAAACGTGGTTTATTAATTTGACACTCAGCGTTTTCGCTATTATCTAGTTGTCCGTATTCGGAATTTCCCCAACCAAAAATCTCTCCTTTGTCGTTTAAAGCCAAAACGCAATCGGAAGCGCAGCTTAACTTTACAATACGTTCACCAGCAATGTCACCTTTGGCTGGTTCGATTTCACAATTTGAGTCATAATTTCCTCTCCCTGTTTGCCCATCTGCGCTCCAGCCACAACTATATACACGCCCCATTCGTGTAAGAAACATTGTGTGATCTTGTCCACATTCTACAGAAACTATTTCATCATCTGCTCCGCAAATTTCTTTTTCAGGTATACGATATATTAGCGCGCTTTTGTGATAGTCTTCATTTTCAATAATCGGTCGTCCGCACTGACCATAGGAATTGTTACCCATAGAAAATACCGTTCCATTTTGTGTAACTACAATCAAATGTGCTCGACCAGCAGACATGCATCGCACTTGCAAATCTGCATTGGTTTCATGTTCCAGACGACGTAGGTTTATTGCTGTGGGATATATTAAAACATCTAAGTTGTTTGGTTCTCCACTACCACCTTTAAATTGAAATCCCAGCTGAGAGTCTGTATTTAAACCAGTTCCAAAAAGTGTTTGACCATCAGAGCGTTGCACAGCGAAAGCAGAAAAACCATAACCAGCTGCAATATCAGTTATATCTGTGTTAACGGAAAACTGCATTCTTGACGGATGATGTACCATTTCTGTGTACCGCTGCTTCGCTTTTTTAACATTACTTTGCAGTCCCAACGCTCCAGTCTCTTGAAATCCCCAAGCATACACTCGACGTTTGTTAGGATCAGACACTTTAGGGGTGTAAGCTAAAACATACATAATTCATAATCATATTTTAAGAAATACCATAACGTGAACCAACTTAAAATTTTTGATTTATCTTGCATTAAGGCAATCCGTTTTGCCTTAGCAGTATAACGACGAATCTGTGTAACATGTATTTTATAAAAATTTCGCCACATTTTCATTTGCGAACGTAATATGAATTATATTCAATATTTCAT